TAGCACAGCCGATTTGGTCGTGCGACCAAAGGGCACGGAACCGGGAAGCTATTTCCATATCACAAAGGTAAATGAATTAATGCATGAAACGCGGAATTGATTTTAAGCATAGAGACGGTGTGTTGATACCGTTCATTTTTATCAGAAAAGCCATCTAAAAAAGTGAGCTCTGAAGTCGGCTATAGACGAACGGATATTGCGGCATGTATTATTAATTCTAAATCAGTGCTTGTTCAGGTGACTCAAGAGAAACAAGTGAAAGGAGAAGAAGTGAATCGGAATCAAGCGTTTTCGATAGAGAATCCCCGTACGACATCAGTGTCTTGAAACTGAAACTGCCAATATGGTTTGAGGACGTTGATGAGTGATTGTCTTTTGCGAATATTCTTCCATTGCTTTTCATACGTTCTTTTGTAAACTGCCACGAAACAGTGTTCTTCTGCATTTGAAAGAGTCTTTCTGCAAAATCAAAACGAATACTTCAGTTCTTTGATTATGCGATTTCATTAGTGTGGTGCTGTTGCTGGAACAATATCAGTGCTTTCAAATTCCGCTTTCAATGCAAATCTGTACGAAATCGAAACCTATGAAGGCTTATTATTCTACTGAAAAACTGTCGTGTTGCACAGCCTCACAAGGTTTCAGTCGTACTTGGAGTTGTAATCAACATGTGTGTTGCGTTTCTCTCTCTTGCATTCACGAAAAGATGCGCATCCCAAGAATTCCTTGCACGATGTGAGATCTTTTCGATGCATTGTCTACTTGCAAAATTTATGTTAATTAGTTGCGAAAAATTACGACAGCGGGGAAATATAAGCGCAATTTTGATCAACTCATGAATGTTAAGTCTCCACTGAGTGTGAGGCATTCCACTGAATCCCATACCATGTGCCTTCTCTTTTTTCTTTCATCTTATCCAGCATATTTCTCGAGAATTTATTGAATTCAAGTACCTCAAAGTGCTAAACATTCTCATGTATCGAACAAATTGCCCCTGGAATTCTAAAATGAGGATCTACGAAATTTTCTTGTGCCTTGCAATAGCGAGAAAGCTACTCGAATTATTGGAGTGAGCATTTCACTCGATATTTTATTCGTTTATCATTCATTCGCTCCTCAGTTAGTCAATCGTTTAGCTTTATTTTTTTGAACTTTTCCTTGCATGTACATTTCACGTTCACTAATGATCGACATATGATAAAATTTTATAAAATTGATGTGTTCGTTTGAAAAATCAATTTTGAGCATTTACAACTTACTCCAGTTACACTGACAAAGAAGTCTTCTCATAGCTGCAGAAAGAGGAATGAATGGAAACGTTTGTTCAAGGTGAATATTGAATTAACATGTCAATACGGTAAGTGTAGTGGAAGGGGAACAAGGATAAACATTTTGGGTGGAAAAAGTACGATCGTTCATTCAGATCAATTGAATGCAGTTCTTAATAATACATGATATTATATTATGAAGGACGGTGTAGTTTTCACGTTTACAATTGTAAATTGTTACAGATCGCGTAACACTTTTCATTTTGTCTCAAACTTTCACTTTTCCTTATGAATGAGTGGATGAGATTGGAAAACATCACTGATAGAGCATTTTCCAGATAATACACTGTGCTTGAAACTTGATCCATTGCGGAAAGCAGTTAAGAATGAAGACGTTATATAATTCCGTAATGGAAGTTTCAAAAGAAAGAAAAATGCACTGCAAAATATTCATACGAGCCAACTCCACTGCAACAATGAAAATTTTATTCACATCACATCAGAATATCATTTGACACAGCATTCAGTCCTAAAATGTGACAGATTATTTCGCTAAAAAAGAGTACAGTGATCACAGATATGTAAGGCTAAACATGGCAAATATATGTCTATATTCCATTGCCATTTTACGGATATATTAAAATAGACAGAATGAAACATGATCTGAATGCAACATTTTTCTATCGCACCATAGAAGTATCACACTCTCGAAATAGTTTTACAAAAGACTAGAGACAAAAGCTTGATTTAGAAACAAAGGAACGATACTGATGAGTGTCGCGAAAACAATAAAATGATTGAGCTAGGGGGGATCCAGTGATATGAAGAGAAATCAACAAGCAGATCTGCAGGTATTCCAGCAAACTGGGACGCACTGGCCGATGACACATTGGCGTTGACATACATTGTTGCAGTGTGATTGACAGCTATAAGATGGAATGTAGATGACTGGTCCTGGTCGATAGTATGGAGCTGAGCATGGGCATGGCAAGACTACGCGTGGACACGAGCATCTCATTTGAAAGATGATCTGATAGCACTGACACGAGTTCTGCAGACACGAGCATGCTTGTCGCTTTGATCGAACTGCATTCTCCTGAAAATGACACTAATGGTGTTAAAAGTTCACATTTTGACATAGGCATTCAACAACATGCCATAATATCTATATACATTAAAAAGCAAAACACTTTGAGAAACTTGATAATTTCAAAACTTTTACGAACTGGCAACCTAATCGTCAGGATGAAATTCGAAATCGTGTCTGTTGAAGAAAAACCGAAGATTATGGTTCAGGGTAGCTGGAATTCATAAAGACTCACCTCTGCTGAGAAGACAGCGATGAGAACGATGAAGAAGACAAGAGCTACTTTTGAAAGCATTCTGAAATGTGAACTGGAATACAGAAGTGAAATGGACTTCTCTGGTTCAGCCAGGTAATTAGTAGAGCTTATATAACGGTGGACTGGGAGCAAATACCGGTTGTGATCCTGATTGGTGATCAAGAAGTTCGATCGATGTGCTTTGGATTCGAGTCAACGTACAGTGCTCATCTCGGAATAGCAAGGAATGTGTGCAAAAAACTATTTAACAACAGGATTAGCTAAGTGCTTTCCGAGCACTTTTCTCACAATGATCATCCCTCTAAATCGAAAATTACTTTGCAGATGAAGCGCTACTCTCGGGCTTGCGTAAAACTGTGAAAAAATCGCTCAGTCGAATGAGTTTGTAGAAGGGCATTTAGAAAAGTCGTTGAACTGAAAAGTATCAACAGACAGTGTAATCGGGAAAATGTCGACACCCGTCATTCCACATCAAATAGCGGGTTAATTATTCATTGCACGCCTCAGGACATTGGAATTTCACCGCTCCAGCTGCAAATTACGTGCAAGCACTGTTGTGGCTGCACTATGTCACCGATCATCTCTGTCTTCCTGATCATGTTCAACTTAACTTAAGTGATGCAGAAAAATATCACAATAATATGTAATTTGAAATGAATACGTTAATGGAGATATTGATGGATGAATTTCAATGTACACACTGAACAAGCCAAACAGTTCATTTTTTTGCTTGAGAGTGATACAGTCTGTAAGTAAGAAAATTTTGCGTAGTCGTCGGGTTTACTGAGTGAGTCATTTCTGTAAACTTGTTAACAATCATATTTAGCGCCGGAACATATTAACTGGCATCGTTTTTCCATCCAATATTATATAAACTCGCAAATCAGTACCTGAAGTCATTGCATACAACTTGAGTTCGGTGCAGTATTTCCAATGGCCATGATTCCAACAGTGTCGATCATCGTTCTCATCGCACTCGGCACATTATCCTCAGCAGAGGTGAGTCCAACAAAAATTCAAGATTCAGTAGTCATCTTTGAAGTTTACCTTGCCTGGAAATTTTCACGATTCAACTTTTCCGACCAAAATTTGTGAATCAAATTTGTGAAATATGCGTAGTCCATTAAGGAAGTTGTCAACTGAATGAAAAGTTATTTATGCGACAGTCAACAATCATTTGTGTATATGCAATTTCGTAACGAGTTTCATTCAACCGATTTTTCGAAGCCAGAAGTCTGCATGTATTCTTAAACGCCATCGCACAAAACTCTTCAATAGTGCTAATTCTTTTTTTGCAGGAAAATGCACTCCGTTCCAAACGACAATCATGCTCTTGTCTACAGCACGCATGCCAATGCGCACAAGTGACAACGATCTTCCAAATGTCATGTTCGTGTCCACAAGTTATCATACCATGTTCATGCTCTACCACTCCAAGTGGCTCAATACCATCAATACCGAGTGTACCATCAACAGGAATACCATCAGTGCCGTCAACAGGAATACCATCAGTGCCGTCCATACGTATAATAGGCAGTTGTCACTCAAACTGCAACGATATTTGTCAGCGACAATGCGTCGTCGGGCAATGTGTTCCAGTTTGTTGGAATGCTTGCAGAAAAGCTTGTTGATTCGTTCATAACATTCATGCGTCTAAATTTAAACTTTACTGTTTACTCGATGTGTGTAGTTCTGAGATTGTCAAGAGTTTAATGGAACAGTAGTACAGTCAGCTGGTGTGCTATTATTCATGGCTGGCATATTCCATTCGACTGCTCAACCGACTCATATTATATTCTATTGTGCTTGAAATGTGCGATTCATTTAGTAAATATTTTGCTATCGCAGTGATTTTGTCTCGAACAAACGCTCAATGTCAATAAGATAGTAATCAAGACATAACGATGCAGAATTGCAATCAAACGAATACGGGAACAAAATTGTCGCGGTTAGACGTCGTGAGAGAGAGAATTAGTGAAAATATGGATTTGAATAAGATGAGTCATGAGGTTTGAAGAATAAATGGAAAGTGCCNGTATCAAAAATTGAAGTTCTCATATGATAGTTCTAAGCATAGTATTCATTGTGTCCTTGTTAATGCTTGATCCATCAAAAGCAAGTCAGTGGTTCTTTTGATCCATGCAGAATATCATAAGCTTGATATGTGCAGCCAAGTCATGCACTGATACTGAAAATTGCCTTGAAGTTGAGCTAGCAGTTCACAACACATTTGATATCTATCGTTGGGAGTGATCAACACTAAGGTGCAGTCGTACTCATAGGTCATAAATACCAATCGTTATTAACTGAAGTCGTTTCCTTTACTGACAAAATACATTTCCTGACTATTATAATAAATTCATCAGCAACTAATGAAGTAAATATCACGTGTGTTTAGCGAGCACCAATCAACAACAAATAGGACAACCTCCTATTAAGTGATTATCTTACATGTCGTTACAACCCGTCAACATATACAGTTATTCTTAGTGAGTTCGATTAAGCAGAAGTCAACTGAAGGGATTAATATTATAATATTAATGGCGTATATAACTACTTTGTACATTGGAATCTCGATAATAATTTCAATTAGCATGAACCAAACAAGGAGTAATGTTACCATCCTTAATTTGGTACTAAGTCTTACAAAAAAATTGGTACTGTATGCTAAGAAGAGTCATGATGTATGGTAAGTAGACTTTATACGTAGTTGATGCATGTAAACAGTCGACAAAAGAAAAATATAATCATTTATTCATTTATTATATATTCAAATAAAGTTATCTATAAACATTTGCGATTAAAAGAGGGAGAAGACGGAAATGGGAAGAGGTAAGCAATTCAGAGAAAATCAAAATATCTCATTAATATAAAAGTTACTTTCAAATTTGCGTACATCAACGTGAACATCAGTGCTATTCATCCACACAAATAACGACGATACTTTTCCGAAAACGAGCATCTGCAACAATATCAATTTCGATTGATTTTCCGATAACAAATAACAGAGTTAACTTCAGACCTCAAATACTGCAATCCTACGATTAGCATGAAAAACAATCATTTACCACAATCCACAAAAACACTTTTGCATAATAACAACAGAATATCATCACAATTATGATACATAGTCGAATTAGAGTATTTCAGAGAATACTAACGGCTATTAATCAACATCGAAGACGATTACTGTCAATAGAAAATTGACAAAATTTTGCTGCACGATCAAACAGTTCTAATAATGCGCATAGGTTGCGACAATACCATTGCAAAGTACCGTGTTGATGGCGATGGTAAACGAATATGGCAAAAATCGTATGTCTTTTCGGCAAAACATTCAGTATGTCTTTTCGGCAAAACATTCCGGTANGTTAATAATGGAAACAAGTTCACTTCTAAGGTTCCTTCGAGCTAGAAACATCTGATTCATCGCAAAATTGTAGGCAATAAGACGTGAGATAACGAAACTAACTAAAAGATTTCAACACAATGAGCTAGCGAGCAGTATGACAAAATCAAATACGAAAACGAAATGAAGTAGAATTCTAAAGTAACAAATGAGAATTCAACAGCACAATAATCACAAATAAATGAACGAAAGAAACGAAACCAACAAGAACAATCAACATCTAACAACACGATCAACAAACAATCTCACGAACAATAATTCAATCAAGTCAATCGATCAACATCAATTAGTACATATTTATAAACAAACAAAAAATTCTAAAATCCTATCAAATATGGCACATATGACGAAAGATAAGTATCAGTGAAAGCAAAATAACAAATATATCTGCGGAACATTTACTTTTCGACGATTTCACTGATCACGAGTAGTGAGTAAACGTTTCAATTGTTACCGAAAATGAATCACCAGCGTTTTCGAATGAATCAAAGACGGTTCAAATGGTTGAAGCATTTGTAAGACGGGGTTAACAAATCACATTGTCAATAAGATGCATTCAACAGAGCACTTATGAACCGGGACATATTATTTATGTTTAAATCAAGGCAATTATTAAGTTTAAAAACACAGCTGAATAACCAGTCGAAACTGAAACAAACCTGAGTGGCAGCCTGACCGTATTCAGTTTCAATATCCGTTACTGATTCTTTTGAGCATAGCGGGTTTATCTGACGACACGAGGACAGTTTATTTACAAAATATCAACAATTAAAATGATCAAAAAAAGAAAGGAACTGACAAACTTCCGAGTGCAATAAATGAAGACAAAATTCATACAAATGCCGTTATCACTGACCGAACACGTATGAAAACCGGAATATTAGCACATGGATAATTGAACTAGAAGAGAAGATGAGACTTCTGTACAAACCTGCGACTAAGAAGTTAATAATTCATCGCGAATATGAATGGAAGTGGGGCACAACAACGTTGTTGCTAAATCGAGGAAGAATCTTTCAAGTCCCAAAAACATTCCAGACGGAACAAAACTCTCTGATGCATTGCTATGCGATTTTTCCGCTCTTGATCAATTCAAAAAAATTCTGACGCCGTTATAAAATGTAATTAGAGTACATCACTTTTAAAAAAATAAGTGAAACTACATTAGCGAAAAGATAGCCGACCGGAAAGGATGTGCGGAATGATTTCTAAATCAAAACTGAAAGAATACAAGAAACGATGTAATCATTGAGTTGCCCACTGAAGCTGAATTGTACGAATAAACAAACTAGTATCACAACATTCACCAGTGAATCCTCAAAGTAGCAACAGCTGGCAGCGTTTAACAAACAATTTGCATAAGAATTTACAAACATGCATCTATCTATACTTTACATAATGACTCACTCAGAGCAAAAATATTGAAGAGTTATGAAAAAATGCATCATCCACAGTAACTCCTTATTAAATTTTAGGATCAATAATCAACCTCCGTAAGCATATACGACTGCTTTCAATCGAATCCACTGCATCGTTCAAAAAGGTTGCACGACTTATTCCTTACGTGGCGTTTAAGTGAATCGTTCACCTGATATGTCGTAGAGTAATTGTACGAGCAAAATGTTTGATTTACCATAATTCGTGTGAATATTTTTGTTACTGCGATTGGGCACTTACTTCTTCCGAATAAACATACATTTCATTCCGAATTTGACACAATAATTCCGAAAGAAATACATGTTTCATTGCAATATTTCGAGTTAAGCCGAAGGCTAAAAATTCCACGTATTCGTTGAAATCATCACACTGTCATCAACACGGACATCCTCC